GACCCCCAAACACCCTTCTCTCTGGCATTTACCAGTTTGTCCTCTGTATTCATGAGTCTGTTTTCATTTAGTTTGTTCATTTCTTTTGTTCCTTAGATTTCACATATAAGTGAAATCTTATGGAATTTATCTTTCTCTGTCTGACTTTTTTCACTCAGAATAATACCCTCTAAGTCTATCCATGTCTTTGCAAATGGTAAGATTTCATTTTTTATGGCTGAGTAATATTCCATTGTATATATGTACCATTACTTATTTTTTTCTTCCATAATTTCTTTATCCAGTTGTCTATTGGTGGGCATTTAGGTTGCTTCCACATCTTGGCTATTGTGAAAAGTGCTGCCATGAACACAGGGATGCACAGATCTTTACAAATTAGTGTTTTGGTTTTCTTTGGTTAAGTACCGAGAAGTACAATTGCTGGGTCAAAGTTAGTTCTATTGTTAATTTTTAAAGGAACTTCCAAAGTGTTTTCCATAGTGGTTGTACCTATTTTCAATTGCACCAACAGTGTACGAGGGTTCTCTTTTCACCATATCCTCGCCAACAGTTGGTGCTTTTTGATTTACTGATGGTAGCCAATCTGACAGGTGTGAGGTGATATCTCATTGTGGTTTTAATTTGGATTTCTCTGGTGATTAGTGACCTTGAGCATTTTTTCATATGTTTATTGGCCATCTGTATGTCCTCTTTGGAGAAATACCTATACAGGTCTTCTGCCCTTTTTTGAATTAGATTTTTTTGTTGTTGTTGTTGAGTTGTATGAGTTCTTTATAAATTTTAGATATTAACCCCTTGTCAGATGTATCATAGGCAAATATCTTCTTCCATTCAGTCATAAGCACATTTTATAGAGAAAAGTTTGTTTGAACTTTGTAGTCATGACAAGGAAGACTGCATGGAAATCAGGGATAAAATATACTGTATTAAATTTGTTCTGAGCTCTTTAAAACTCAAATTAGATTTGGAGAAAGTTCTTCAACACAAGATATTTGCAATCCAATTTTTAGTTATGACATCAATACAAGAAAATTTCTAATGCTGTTATTTCTGTATCTTACTGCTAATGATTAAAATAACTTTTTCCCTCAATTATTTGAGGTAATTTCAAGGGTATATTTTCTAACTTTTAGATTTTACTTAAATTTTAATTCAAAATTGTGTGTGTGTGTGTGTGTGTGTGTGTGTGTGTGTGTGTGTGTGAATCCACAAATTTTATAATGGTGATTTTCAATCTTACTGCAAGTAATTATATGCTCTGAAATGGAGATAAAAGATCACTGAATATTTTTTAGTTTAGAAAATGTGTCAGGACATTAGGTAATTCATTTGAATAGCTTTTGTCTGACTGGCAGTTCCTATGTCGCTGACATTTTGCCAGTGGTATAAGCTCTGTGATTGTTTTAACCATTTTACCAAATTACTAGCAAGTCTATATACAGCTTCCCCACTATATGAAAAGTCTTGTTTTAGCTATGCACTGAGGATGCATGAACTACAGGGTACTTCTCAGAAGTGTGAACAATAGCTAGGATGAAATGATTTACCCTAGTATAGCACTGAGGTGTGTGTTAATCCTTGTCCTAACTAGGACTCTGGTTTCCAGTTTTTGTGTGCCACGAGTAATGGAATTTAGCAGTTCATAGAGACACAAAGTGTTTTCCCTGAGGCAAATACAGAAATGTTATTTCTGTTGCATAACGCGTTTTACTTTCTGAATATCTCGGCAGAGCTGTAAGATCTATTTTATGGTCTTTGGGTGTTTCCTTGCCTCCACTGAGTGGTTCTCAACATGCATCAGAATACTTAGAGGGCTTATTAAAACAGGCTGTTGGACCCCACCCTCAGAGTCCCTGATTAATCTGTGTGGAGTGGGAATGAGCGTTTGCATTTCTAACAAATTTCCAGATGACGCTGATGCCGATGCTCCAGGGAGCATGCTGTGAGAGTGATTGTTCTAATCCTGTCTTTCTCAAAGTTAGCTCTTCAGATCCTCAAATGAGAACTACCTGGACTGCCTACTTATCTTCAGGTCTTCATTACCTACTCTGATAGCTTGAATCCAAATCTCCAGGATGTTATGCCAGTGGTTTGTAGTTCATCAAACCCCCCAGGTGGTCCTGATACATATTCATATCTGAGAACAGTGAGAGGAGAGATCTGAGGATCTTGTTAGCATGAGAAAACACAGATCAAGTCTCCTCTCAAATATTAGTAGTTTTATACCCCTGACTTGGCATCTAGTAGTTTTATACATAGGTAGTTGAATGAATGAATGATAATGAATAAATGCAAGCAGTTAGTTGCGGCTCTCTCTTTGCTCCCAGAACCTTTTATTTATTCTGCTATGGAATATATCATCCATATTTTGACTACCTGCTTAACCGACTGCCTCCAGCTATATGAGGACTATATCTTTTTGTTGTAGCTCTAGTGTCAAACCCAGTATCTGGCACATAATATGTATATCATTTGTGTTTGTTGGATTAAATGTTTGCAAATGTTGAATAGAATATTTCTTAGGGTAAACCTGAAAGAGAACTGGCATGAATTGTTAAACTCCCTTGGTTTCTCTAAATATGTATTGAAATGTTGGAAGGAGGGGGCCAGTATAATGGATTCAGTTGTAATACGAAGAGTGAGACCGTAGCTAGAAAAGCCACATTCAAGTCTGAATAAGTGGGGTGGTACCAATATATGGTGTGAAGTCAGGGGTCTGGAATGTAAAGGTCCTTAGGTGAGATTAGTACATACATATACAATGCAGTCAGACTAAGTGACATTTCAAAGGTGACGAGAATAAATGGGTGAAAGGGAAGTGGATTAACTAGGTCTCATGAAGCTAATGTATGCTAAAGATTTTGTGAGTGGTCAGAAACCAGAATATTAAAGAATGTAACGAAGGGTCAGAACATGACAAATGGCAAGCCAGGTACTTCATTCATCCCAATTACCCTTGGCAGATGAATTCATTTGTTAATTTAGTCCAGTTGCTTTTTTATCTTTCCTAGCTGGGAAAAGTGGGGTAAAGGACTTTAATAGGATTCGTTTACTGATACATCAAGAAGTCTAGAATAGACATGGACCATGGTGTGGGGGGCAGTTCCTGATACTGTGGTTGAAATCAAGGTTTGTTTAAATACTACTATTCCTGTACCTGCTGTTGTCCACACCATTTTCTAAATTCTAAACCCTGTTGAAGCCTCCTTAACAGGTTTACAATACCCTGATTCTTAAAGTCTTGTTTAATTCCATGTTCCATGCTTCACAGAGAGCCTCAAGGGATTTCAGACCTCTAGTTGTTATATTCTCAGATTACCTGAATTTTCAATCTTCTGTCCAAACAACCTAGATTCCTAAACTATAGTTCATTCTGTTCTTTGAGGCCTGCATGCATTTTGTACTGGATTGCTGCCACCATGTGTCTCCCAGTCACAGGCTGGTGCCTGCCACATGTTTTCTGCTCTCAGGTCTGTCTGGGGTCTTCAGGTCCTTGCGCTCTCGCTCAGGTCCTTACAGTTCCCATTGTATCCTCATCGTTTACACTAGTACTGGTGCTGCCTGGTTGAACCAAGTGTGTACGGGGGTCACATATTAGTTTGTACATCTATTTCAATTTTTTTAGGAATGAAATACTAAAATTTTCAAAGGAAAATGGTTTTATGACCAACCAGAGATTCAGAGCCTAAGAAGGTTTAAATTTTCTTTTGTATTATATGAGAATTCAATTTTCAGAAGTCAATTTATGTTGAAATCATACAGAGACCTTTTAGTTTTTTACTAATTAAGCTTTGGCATAGTTTGAAAGTTGTGAGGTATGTAGACAATTGCTCATTGTGTGGGAATGTTCTACTCATTGCAGAACATCCAGTATTGTTCGATAAGCCAACTAAATATAAGCCACATCTTCTATCGTATGGCACATAAAAACATGCCACAAATCTCTCAAATACCAGCCGAGGGTTATGCCACCTCTCATGAGAAGTACTGGTTTAGACTATCAATTTTTAATTGCCAGAATTGGGGAGGAACCTACAGAACATGTGATTATTTGAGAACTGAACAAAAAATCAGCAAGAAGGAGAGGGCATCACTACAGGATAGAGGCATCCATGAGCGTGTTACTCAAGGAACAGGCTGGGCAGCATTCTGTGAGGTCCCTTCTAGCTAGGGAATCCATATTATTTACTATCATAATGTGCAAGATAAGATCATTTCTGGGTAAACAATAATCATGGATAATGGATATTTACATTATATATATATTCATAAATCATGATTCAAAATTTCAAGGACAGTTTCTTCAATTGGTAAATATAATTAATAGAGAGAAGAACTTCTCTTAAAGATAAAAGATATGACAATTGAAATATTTAACATCTAAGCCTGCAAAGAATTAAAAGGTATCTTGTAACATTTTAGAATCATGTTAATTTAGACTACAATTGTTCAGTGTTTAATGTATGATAATAGTATTTTTGGTATTATTGAGAACAAATGAACTCAACACTTTAATTGAAATTTACTTGATTAAAAAAATTAAAACTACACATTATTTTATATCTCAGTTCTTTCTGAGAATGGAATGTAGATAAAATATTTTCTCATATGGCTATTATAATGGAACATCAGAGTTCAACTCTCAAGTATCTAGCATAATCTCTGGGACCAATATATGTTCAGTAGATGTTTGTTCCATAAATAATTAAATGGTTTTAATGAAATATGTCAGAAAAGATTATGCAGATCTAATCAGAGATTATTTTATTGTAAATAGTTTTAATATTGAAAACAATTTTTTGGCATTTTTTCCTAAGCTCTTTTACTCCAGGTAATCTTACATGGACTAATAAATAATTTTTCTATGTGAAATATAGGTTTATGTAATGACGATAGATGACTAAATATTAGTAATCATTAAAAGAACATGTTTCTCTATAGCTCTTTATTATTCTGGTCATTCCCTTGTCTCATGTTTTTACTGTTCTTCTTTTTCACAGGGATTCGATAAACAAGTGGATGTGTCATATATTGCCAAACATTACAACATGAGTAAAAGCAAAGTTGACAACCAATTCTACAGTGTGGAAGTGGGAGACTCAACCTTCACAGTTCTCAAGCGCTACCAGAATCTAAAGCCTATTGGCTCTGGGGCTCAGGGAATAGTTTGGTAAGTGGAATGGATTTAACTTATATTTTTAAAGAGAACACACTGTGTCAACTAGCCACAAATACACAAACAAAAAATAGATTGCATGACTGAGAAGGGAAAATACATTCTACTGAAGAAAAATAAAAGCATAAGCATTATTTTTAATTTGTTTATCCATTTGCTAACAATATGTACAACTTTGCTGGTGACTAGTTTTTCTAGTCACAAAAAATATCCATTACACAACAGCCATAAAACAAAACAAAAACAAAAACAAAAAACAAGCACAGAAAACCAGAAGTTTTCTAGCTGTTATTAATACATTAAAAAAAAACAAAACATATTTGAATGTTTTTGCAACAAGAAATGTGGAGATATGTGTAAGATAACCAGCAAATAAAATCTCTTACACTATAAAGAAGCGCAAATGATATCTCTGATGTTCCTGTGACTTTTAAAGTTCAACATTTAAAATTTAGTTACCTATTAGAAAAATGGAATTTTTAACATGTTTGCCAAATGTTTCCAAAATGGAAAGATTCTGTGATCCTTGGTAACCATTCTTTTATGACATTTTGGAATCGCTAATTCGAATGATGACAAATCAAGATTTAATTGGCTGTTATAAAACTTGCAAATGTGATGATATCAGGTTGATAAGCATTTCTTTTAGATAGTTCTAACTCATACTGTAGCAACTGAATGTATTTAGTATGAACTTATTAATATAATAATTTTTAATTTGATGGCTTATACCTATAAGTAAAAATTTAGGACATGCATTATAAATACATATATTTATATTTGTAAAAGAAATTTACTTATATCAATATTTTTATTCATTATATAAATTACTATTATATTAGTAAGGTCCATTTAAAAATACTTTTAAGGGATGAAATAAACATTTTTATTTTTTGAGCAGTTTTAGGTTCTCAGCAAAATTGAGAAGACAGTACAGAGACTTTCCATATACTCTCTGCCCCCACATAGGCACAGCCTCCCCCTCTATCAACATGGCCACCAGAGTGGTACATTTATTACAATGGATGAACCTACATTGACATATCATAATCACCAAAGCCCATAGTTTACATTAGGATTCACTCTTGGTGTTGTACATTCTATGGGTTTGAACAAATGTAAAATGACATGTATTCACGTTATACTATCATACAGAGTATTTCTACTATCCTAAAAATCCTTTGTGTGACACCTATTCATTCCTTCCCCTACTCCCAACTTCTGGCAACCACTGATCTTTTTACTGTTTCCACATTTTGCCTTTTCCAGAATATCATACGGGTGGAATCAAACAGTATGTAGCTTTTCCAGATTGACTTCTTTCACTTAATAATATAAATTTAAGATTCTTTCATGCCTTTTTATGGAATGATAGCTTATTTCTCTTTTAGCACTGACGAATGTTGCATTGTCTGGGTTTACCACAGTTTACTTATCCTTTCACCTACTTTAGGATATCTTGGTTCTTTCTGAGTTTTGGCAATTATGAATAAAACTGCTTTAAACATCCATGTGCAGATTTATGTGTCAACATAAGTTTTAAAAGTTCACTTCATTTTTGACAACTGGTTTTAAGTTTACTCTGAATGCTTAGTTGGTGTAAATGGCAGACGTGCATGGTTGGTGCACTTACTAAATTATTTATTAGCATTTAAGCCTCAGCTATCAAATATACCAAGTCTTTTATTAAAATTCACCTAGTAGATTTCAATCTTTCCTAATGTCAATCAGTAGTTGTTTTGGCAATTCGAAAGATAGAATATTTTAATAGTTTAGACAATGGGCCTCTTCATTTTGAAAATATTTAAACAGGTGAAACAATATTTATTTATTTGTTTGTTTGTTTGTTTTTATGGTGCAGATATGAGGTGACCCTTTCTGGCACAATATAATTTCATAGTTTAGTAGGCCCTAGGATTCCCAGACCCTAATCTCCAGAATCCGTGAATATGTTATCTTACATGGCAAATGAGACTTTGCAGATGTGATTAAGGTTAATAAGGGTCTTAAAATAGGCAGATTATTCTAGAATATCCAGGTAAGACCAACCTAATCACATGAGTCCTTAAACGTGGAAATGGAAGGCAGAAGAGTGAGTCAGAGAGATGCAACTGGAGAATAGAGATAAGGGATTTCAAACATGAGAGAGACTTGCCTTATTGTTCTGTCTCTGAAGATAGAGGAAGAGGGTCAAAAGCCAACGAATGGGGTGGCTTCAAGAAGCTGGGAATGGCCCTCAGCTGACAATCAGCAAGAAAGTGGGACCTTGATCATATAGCAAAAAGGAATTGAAATCTGCCAACAAATCTGAACGAGTAAGGAAACTTATTCTTCTCTAGCACTTCCAGGAAGGAACTCAGCCTCCCAGCATCTTGATGTTGGCCTGGTGACACCCATGTAGGATTTCTAACCTGCAGAACTAAAGATAATAAATTTGTGTCGTCTAAGCAGCTAAATTTGTGGTGATTTGTTGTGGCAGCAATACTAATAATACACATGGTATGGTAAAGATCCTAGTATTAAGATAATTGCTATAAATCTTGTAAAAGCAGGTACTCTGAACTATAATGTTTTCAAAGGTAGGTGTTCAGGGTGCCTCTGTCAATTCTCTCCAGACTGTGAAATTGCCACTTTCTTTTCAAGTCATATCTTTTTATTTTTATTTAAAATTTTTTTATATTATGTATTATTTATATTTTTAAATTTTTTTTTTATTATGGTGACATTGGTTAACAAAATCCAGTAAGTTTCAAGTATACATATGTATTTATATTGCATCGTGGAAGTCATATCTTTAACCCTAGGGCAATATGTGACCACCTTCCAGGAGGGATAAATTAACTGGTATGGACCAGTATTAATGTATATATTGAATATTAGTAAGGTTTGATTTCTTTTTTAGATTACAATATGTGTTTATATTTTCTTCTGCATTCTATTAGATGGTTTTTATAATGCATGGAGAGTGGGAACTCCATGCAGAAGATCATTGTATTCATGAAGAACTTTCAAAATGAAATACAAAACCAAAATTTCTTATAAAGGAGGAGAAATGGGAAATGGAATATTGTAGACTATGATAACGTTTACCTAAGATTTTCATTTAAGATGATCACCTGGATTGTTTTATTTTTCTTTAATCCAAATTCCCACAGCAAATGAGGGCTGCCAATAAAAAGAAGCTGATAGACCTTTAATGGTTCATAAATAGATCCAAAGCATAAATTTTGCTCAAGAAGTTAACAGATTGTTCCAGAAAGATTTGAAAACCTACCACTAAGAATTGTGTAGTATGCTCTATGGCAGCCGTCACCAACCTTTTTGGCACCTATGAGAATCTAATGCCTAATGATCTGAGGTGGAGCTGAAGCAGTGATGCTAGCTAATGCTTGGGAGCAGCTGCAAATACAGATGAAGTTTCGCTGGCTCCCCTGCCACTCACCTCCTGCTGTATGAGCTGGTTCCTAATAGGCCAGAGACTGGCATTGGTCCACGGCCCTGGAGGTTTGGTACCCTTGCTCTGTAGGACATTTTAGACCTCTATTTCTTTGTGTATAGGATGAGAATCATCCTGGGTGTTGAGTATAATGACTGAAAATATATTTCAATAAATAAAATGTCCTTGAATAAGTTTTTTAATCCAGTTTTACAATAAATTTATTAACAAATTTGTCAGTCAAAGGACATCTAACAATTTCAAAATGTTAGCCTTAAAGTTTCCTGTGATTATTATTAGACTTTTTGTCTATAGCTGAAGAAAATAAAGCTAGCAAAGACCAAGATGAAGGAGCAGATTTCTCTCCCCAATCTTTTAATTTGCCACTCTACCATGTGCACAGATACCACATGGTATTGTCTTCAACCTAGCCATTGAGATACTTTTGTTTACTTATCATAACTTGGGTCTGTAATGTACTATTTATCTTATAGATCTATTGACATATTTATTTGTCTTCTCTATCTACCTGCCTTTAAGTTCCTCTCTATTGCTTTTGTCAATAATGAGTTCATCCACCTATCTCACACCGAGCATTTATTCATTCCCAGACATGATCCTAAAATCCACAGACCTTTCCTCTGTTCGTGAAAACTTTCAGATTTGCATAATGTTTTGAGTGTCTCATACAACCCTGAGTATAATGACTGGAAGAAATTGGAAACCGGGAGAGTCTTGGGTCTCCGCCAGGGAGGGCAGACAATCAAAAACAGATGATTCATTTATTTTATTTTATTTTCTTTGAACAGGAATAAAACATGAAGGAACCAATTCCAAAAAGGATGTTCATTATCATTTTTTTCTACGTGTCACTATAAAATCTTGTGTGTATGTACATAGGAAGAATTTGGCTTCTCAAGTATTAATATTGGCATATTGGTAACTATGTCATAGAATCTTCATTGTCCTAACTTGATTGAAATAGAGACTCATTTCTACTGTTTAGTTACCTAAATTTGTTGTTGGGTTTTTACACTTTCTTACTCTTCTTTGGACTACTTCATCACTTACTTATCATAAGGAGGAAATAGGCAATACTAAAATATCTTCAAAAGGAATTAACCACTACTATGCTAGTTTTTATTCACCATAGATGGCAGACCAAATGTCATTATTGAGAACCATTAAGTAAAATCCAATACGAAGTATTTTGAAATAAATAAAAAAAATTTCTATATCTTAGAAAAAAAAAGATTATCTGTTGAAACAGAAAAAAACCAATCAGAGTTACAAGTGTACCTCAGATATTGTGGGTTTGGTTCCAGACCACTGCAGTAAAGCGAATATTGCAATAAAGTGAATAACACACTTATTTTGGTTTCCCAATGGATATAAAAGTTATGTTTATACTACACTGTAGTATATTAAGTACACAATGGCATTATGTCTAAAAAAATCAAGGTACCTATATCTCAATTAATGAATACTTTATTGCTAAAAAATGGTAACTGTCATATGAGCCTCCAGTGAGTTGTAATTTTTTTGCTGGTGGAAGGTC